CAGGAGCGGGCGCAGCCGCCAGCGGCCCCACCGGTCTCCTCCAGCCCCGCCACGTGGCCGCAGCGCCCACAGGAGTAAGCACCGTCCCTGCCCCACAAGGCCGCCCGGAGGTCCGGGCCACTAGGGAGAGGGGTGCTGACCCCAGAGAGGACGGATGAGCCCCTCCTGGGATGGCGCAGAGCCCAGGGGAGAGGGCCAGCACCGGAGGCGAGGAGCGTGCCCCTCCAGCCCCGGGCCCCGCCCCCGGCTGCAGGCCCCAGCGGCCTCTGGGACGCAGCCGAGGGAGGCTGTGCCTGTAACCCAGCGGCTGCAGTGGCTGACCGCGGGTGGCCTGCTGCAGCGACTGACCCAGCCCGGCAGGGAGGTCGGGACGGGAGGGCAGGGGCCTCGGGGCTCCACCTCGCCGCAGAGGGGGCTCTCGGGCCCCTGCGGGCCTTGTGTGGAGTCTGGGCTGAGGAGATGACGCTCTAGACGCAGAATGGGCAGGGCTGGGGCCCCTAGGAGGCAGGGGCCCCCTGGTGGCCCTGGGGAGCATCTCCCGCAGCATGGCGGGAGACCTGCCGGTCAGGGACCATGCAGACTGAGCCTGCGCCCCCGGGGCCCTGCTCAGCACCCCATGGCAGAGAGCCAGCCCCCAGGCTCGGGCAGGGAAGGGTCTCTGCAGGGGAGCTGGTGTCCCCACATGTGTTCAGCCCCAGAAGCTGCTAGGCGACCTCATCCCCCACCCCAAGGACCAGCAGCCACTGGGCCAGCATGTCCGTGCTGACCCAGGCAGCCTGTCCCCAGGGCTGCACAGTGACTCCTGGGCCTGCCTGGCGCGCAGGGTGAGGACTCGGGAGCCGAGACCAACTGCGGGCAGTCACTGTCCCGCAAGTGCGTGGCGGGAAGTGGCCCCTTGCCCACCTGTGGTCCTGGCCTTGGCTGCGAGGGGGCAGCAGCACCTGCGCGCCTCGTCCCTGCACCCTGCCCCGGCACCCACCAGCTGGGCCTGTCCGCTCCCCCATCGTCTGCCGGCTGACCTGGCCTGCCCACAGCACTGTCCCCTGCCACTGTGCCAGTTCTGGGACTGACGTCGTGCGGGCGAAGCCCCTCAGAAGCCCACCGCGCCCATCGTGGCCCCAAGCTTGGCTGGGGTCGGCAGCCACTAGGGGCAGGGGCCGGGCCAGCCGGGAGGGCGCAGCAGCCAGTGTGGAGGGACTCTGCTCCCAGCGGCGTGGTCAGGCTGGACAGGAGCCGCCAGGCCCTGGGCCGGGCCTCAGTGTGGACACGCTGGCCGGTGACCCGAAGCCCAGGTTTATGGGCATCACAGCTGCGTCCAAAGCTGCCCCTAATTAGCGAGGCTGTGGGCGTGGTGCGCGGAAGGGATCGCCGGCAAGGCCGCCCGCCCAGCGCCGAGCGCGTCCCCAGCGCGCCTGTCCTGTGTCCTGCAGGGGGCTTCGCCACCTTCTCCTCCTGCTTCCCCGGCCTCTGTGAGGGCAAGCCCGCCGCCCTGCTGCCCATGAGCCTCTCCCAGCCCTGCCTGCCGGCGCCCAGCGTGGGCCTCACGCGCATCCTGCCCCACCTGTACCTGGGCTCGCAGAAGGATGTGCTGAACAAGGTGCGTGCGGGCTGGGGTGGGCGCGGCTCGGGCGCGGC